AGAGGACAGAAAAAAAAAGAGGTAGCAGCTAGGACTGCAGGATTCTACATAGAAACTATAAAATAAGTATTCCTACCAGGAAGATTGTAAAATAGAAGACTAGGTTCTTGGAAATTTTTTTGGAAGGGAGGCAAAGGAGGAGCCAAAGGCCTATTGTCAAAAACTTAGACCATATTAGCACTATATAGTAATGTGATATTAGCCAGAGGCTTGGTATAGGATGATGTCTTTTCCTTTTGATGATTGGAAACATTATGAAACTTCTTCTAGCATCATAGAACCAGTGCATAGCCCTGGACTAAGTAGCCAAAGAGTGGCTGCTGCAAAACCAGTCTGTACCATTTATGCATAAAATGTTACTATGGCAAGAGCAGGAAGAACAGCCTTAGCTTCCTTTATGTTTACCAGTCTTGCATCAATATACTTTATTGACAAAAAGCATATGTAAAATCTAGTAGCATGGAATATGGGAAATGCAGTTGGCAGGCTTCCTGTGATGAGAACTTAGGGAGTAAAAATGAATGTTGAACAGCAGCAGATATCATACATACCTGGCAAGAACAAGACTGTGAAGGGACTCTAAAGATAGAGTCAGAAACATATCATCATAACATGGGATGTCTCTAAACGCTTAAAAGCAGAATGACTATAAAAATGCATTTTATTAACACTGGTTGTATCATAAAAACTATTCTTCTAAACTAAAATCTAATAAAACAAAATAATATGTCACAATTATTTATTAGTTATTATATACCTGGATTCATATAATGAGCATTCTAACATAAAAATAAATTTGTAGTAACTCATCTATTCAATTTTCTTCCCCCAATATTTTACTGGGTGCACATTTTATGGTACGTGTGATAACTACAGATATAAATTATCTATGGCCTTTGTCTTTAAGAAGCTAGTATTGATCTATTTTTGTTTTCAGTGACAGAAAGCTTTAGAGGGCTATTTGGAAAACTGAACTCAAAATAGCTTCTGCTGAACCTTGTAAACGCTAAGAAAAAAAGATTTAAAAATAAAATCATTTTTTAAAAATAATGAATACTCATATAAACTTCCTCCGATAAATCCTACGTGGTAAATTCTGTAGTTAGAAACTGTGTCACGTAATGCAACGTAATTAAAAAAAATAAAAAATAAATAAATTGAAAGCAAAAAAAAAATTCTGTAGTTAGAAAAATGACTAGCTTTTTAAAAACCAGTAGAACTTAATTTTTTTTGATTCTTAATATTCATTGACAGCTGAGTTTTCCAGAATACAGGTGGGCAAAGACTGGAAGCTTGTAGAGAAGAGCTTCTTCAACTGATAACTGATAGTGACCAGTGGAGTGCTGACTGAAAATAAAACCAAACAAACAAAAGGGTCTAGATGTGCAAGAATTAACAGAAGAAAATGACTTAGGTTTATGCATGATTTCTTAATTTCAGGAGTATTTTCAGGTCAAAAGACATTCATTGCCTCATATGCATCTGATTTTAACACTAGAAACAAATGAGTGGCCATTAAAAATAACTTGGGTGCTTGCTTGGACAGCACCTATACTAAAAATGACTTTAAAAAATGTAAAATACTAAATGCCATAACAAGCAATTAACATTAAATGCCCAAGAAAGCAGTGGAGGATGGCCAAAAGCCTTTGAACTCTACCCATGAAGACCTGGCAGGGGCTCCTGGTTTTGGAATCACTTTATCTGGCCATTGGGGCCGTTTGGGGTGTGGACCAGCAGATGGAAGATCTTTCTCCTTTTTTCTGTAGATCTGCCTTTGAGTAAAAATAAATCTTTTTTAAACTTATTTTTTTTTTTATTGGAAAGTCAGATAGAGGAGGAAAGACAGACAGGAAGAACTGTGCAATGATTCACTCCCAAATCAGCTGCAACAGCCGGAGCTGCGCCAATCTAAAACCAGGAGCCAGGAACCTCCTCTGGACCTCCCATGCAAGTGCAGGGTCCCAAAGCTTTTGGCCATTCTTGACTGCTTTCCCAGGGCACAAGCAGGGAGCTGAATGGGAAGTGGAGCAGTTGGGACAGGAATTGGGGCCATTTAACCTTATACACACTGTAAGGTCTGCCTTCAGTTGATGTCTTCAATAGGTAAGCATTAGATTATAGAATGGTGGGATTTGCAGAAATCAACAGCACATCCCACACCCTTCCCAAGTTGCCATGTAGTTCCTATGTTGTCAGTTTTAGCCTTTGGGAACCACAGGAAGTTCTCTGCAAAGTCCTGATTGGGTTTATGAGGGCTTGGTTACCTATGTTGTAACTGTTAATTATTTTCCTTTTGGGGTGAAAAAAAGCACTCATCAAGGAATATCACCACCACCATTTTAATGAACTAACTTTTATTGCCGTTTAATAAAGCTTAATACTTTTTCTAGAAGAATACAACTCAGTTTACATGTAAAATTGTAGTTGTAAGTAGATAGTAAGGTACATGTAAAGTTGTAAGTAGATAGTCATGGATAATACAGTCATTAGGAGAAAGAGCAGAGCTAAATAATATGAAACCAAAGCAGTGAGCAGCAATAAAATTAATACCTACATAAAACTAGCAGTGCAATAATATAAGCAGAAAGCAGCTTTACAATTTAAGTTATTTAAATACAGAAATAGCACCTTCCAAAAAAGGAATTGAGAAATGTAAACTTGGTAGGTAGATTCAAGTATAAAAGTTATACCCCCAACTCTTGTACCAGAATGAAAGGGTTTTAAAAACCCTGGACAGTAACAGGGCACACATGCCCCCAGTGCCAACTCAAAGCTGCATGTCCTTAACAGGAACACCAACAGTGATTTTTAAAAATTTTAAATTATATAATGATAGACTCAAGATTGCCATTACTGCTTCACTATCCAACATATCACAGTCTAGCTCAGCAGTATCACTGCCATCAGCTATTCTTTAAGAAAGACTATTTTCCTGGCAGGAACGGTGACTACATTATTAGTTTGTTTTTATGTATAACAAGCCAGTGCTGAAGACAGAAGTAATTTGTTCTTAGTTTCTATTGCTATGTACTATCACAATCTCAGAATATTTTTACTTACGGGGTTGCTTCTTAACACCTCTCAAGAAGCACAAATGCTCTGAGGTTAATGAAGTCATATGAGTGGGCAGAATAAAAAAAAAAGGATAGCAAAAAAGTTAAGATAAGTGGAGGACATCTAGGGACAGGAAGGGAAAACAGAGTTTGTGTTTCCAACTAAATGTAGACTTCTTAGCAAGAATATTTAGTCGTGTTCTTATGCTTGGGGATACATTCAAGATGCAAATACAGACTTCTGAGCTGCACATTCTGTGAAATCTGTATGAAAAGGGCTATTTTTACTTGTTTCAAAGGGGGAACTCATTACTATTAATGAGAATAATCATTATCGTGCAGTTGATAAAATCATTTTTTCCATCTAATTCTAAAGACTGGGAAAAAAAGGGAAAAATATCTTGGAAACTTTAAAAGTTTAGTGTTGATAAAAGTTTGTATAAGTAGCAAATTTATTTAGTCTGGCTACTTACCTCAAGTTTTCGAACAGCTTGTAGGAATAATAAGACTAATATTATCCTGTAGTTAATATAAAGCTACTTAAGACTCCCAGAGTCTGTTAACTTAATATTATTTTTCCATATAACATTTTATTGGATCCAAAATTTTAAAAAAACCATATATTGAGATTTAAAATCTAAGGAGTTAAAAAAAAAATGAAGACTAGAGGGAGTAGAAAGGAAGGAAATAAGGGAGGGAGAGTGGGAGAGAAAGGAGGGATGTGGGAAGGGATGAAGGAAGAAAACCATTTCCTCTGAAGAGCCAAGACTGAGGTAAATACCATTAAATCTAGGAATACAAGGAACTAGTTCGGCCACTTAATGATCTCCTAAAAGTAATATGGTTTAACAAAGGGGAATTGCATAATAGTTTCCAGAACTGGATTCATGCTAGAACAGTGAAGCCCTGCACTCATTATTCTTATTTATCAGAATTCCCTCTTGGAAATGGAGCAAAATATATCTGTTTTTCCTCCTATTCTTCCAAACTTGAAGACAAGTAAAGAAAACTAAAATAACCCCTGTTGCCCTGTATCTGTATCAATTTCCACGTCAAGACTGTAGAGAAATTCAACTATCTGGGTTCTAATGTTCTAAAGTCTTTTCTACCATCCTGATTTATTTTGGAAAGAGCAATTATTATATGGCATCCATACCTGATATTCTACACTTGCCATTTAAAATAAAAAACAAAAAACCATGTAGGGCATATAATGAAAGAGACGCAACATTGGGGTTATTTTGAACAAACAACCAATCTCATGGTTCACACGGTTATGTGGGAAGCAGTGACCATGCTGCCAGCATTCATCTCGATTCTCATGGTTATAGGTCAGGATGGCACAGTTCCTTTAGAGCAAGGTGTGTAATTCACAGTTATTTTGGTCATAACATTGGTCACATAGGCACATTCATCCACATTATTATATTACTAGGTTGTAGAATAAGTGCAGGGCAAATTACAGAAGAAAATACAAACATTCAAGTCGTCATACCCTGAAAAAAAATGTGTTAGGCTGTAAGTTGTAAACTTTTTGCACTAAATCCCATTTCAGGAACAAAATAAATAATACCATAGGATTCACAATTGAAGGTGGCTTCCTGATGAAGCCTAAGGAAGCAGTAGCTTTGTAAACTGCAGAAACAAGTTTCCCTCACCACAGGGTTGCTCAGGGTGAGTGGAAACACATGTGGAGACTGCTCCCCAAATTAAGTGCTAGACACTCCCCATTTAGAATAACCACATGGCTCCAGGAGTCTGTTTAGATCTACTTTCAGCAATAAGATGAACCTTGAAACAAACCACGTTAAGTCAGTAGGTGCTTTCACTGTGACACCAGGCAGAGTCTGCACTTTAACTTGTATTACATGCACAATTGATAAAATGATTCATGATGATGGCAAGTGGATGACAAAGGGGAAGGATGCACTGAGGCACACATGGTTTGCATTCTGCTTGGGATACTGTAGTCTGGAATAGGGATGTGCAGATGGGTTGATGCCACTCTCACTCGCCAAAGTGTCTGGCTAGTCAGCCCCAGCACTGGGGATTTCTAGTCTCCTCTGGGCGGAGCTGGTGTTCCGTGACTGATTCTTTTCTCTTCTCTTAAGGACTGGGTCTCTGAGGCTCCCAGGTGTCTTGAAAAACGTCTCACGATTTGTGTGTCCGATGCTTTTGGGGGTCAGCGGAACTGGTGACTGAACAATAAGAAATAGCAGAAGTGAAATCTAAGTATTTACTCTACAACTTGGAAATTCTTGACCTTGTCCTTATAAGGATTTTGCTATTATGCCCCCTAGGCAGGTGTTCTTACTCTTTGCTTTTCAATCACAATAATCCCACTGAACACTCACAGCATGGTTGTCAGAGCTGAAAATTAGATGCCTATTTGGGTACAGAAAGGCAGCTGACCGAAGAGGTCACAAGCATGACACCTGGAGCTGTGTAACTCTGGGCAAGTTATTTATCCCAGTTCTCCATCTATGCAATGGAAATGAAAACAGTACCAACATCACAGGGCATTACAAATTAAATGAAGCAAAATCCATAAGTAATGTGGAGCAGGTAAAACAAATACCAAGTGTGTGTTAACTCTGTCATCATCCTGATGCTCAGTCATGGTAAATATTAACTCTACCTCTTTATGCCCTAAAGTGGATGGGACCATTATCCTGTTTACTGCTGTCTTCACTTCCTGGCATGTAACTAGTTAGCAAAAACTATGTTATACTATAATAATCTTCTGAACAACTAACATGTTTATTTCACTATGGAGCATACTTCTGAGCTTCTGAATAACTTAAAATATTCTTGGTTTACTGTGGGAGAACAAGTCATCACTTTAAACAGTGCCTTAGTGTATGTGGGGAATTCAACAGTTGACATACTGAACTACAAACAGATTAGGTGACAATTACAGTGCTGATTGACATTTATTATATCTATTTCGATAATATGCTTTAAAAAATATTTATTTGGGGCCAGCATGTTGGCTCAACTGGCTAATCCTCCACCTCTAAACACCATATCCCATATGAGCACCAGTTTGTATCCCAGCTGTTCCACTTTCTATCCAGCTCCATGCTTACACCCTGGGAGCATGGCCCTAAGCCTTGGGACCCTGCACCTGTGTGGGAGATCTGGAAGAAGCGCCTGGCTGTGGATCAACTCAGCTGTCACCGCTGTAGCCATTTGAGGGAGTGAACCAGTAGATGCAAGATCTTTCTATCTTTCTATAAACCTGCCTTTTCAACATATATATTTGAAATTTATATGAAAAAAATTATATATTTGAAAGGAAGAGTGAGAGAATAAGAGCTCTTCCATCTGCTGAATTTCTCCCTAAGTGGTCACAACAGTAGGGGCTGAGCCAGGAGCTGTCTGATTATTCCATGTGGGTAGCAGAACCCCAAGTACTCTGATCAAGTTCTTGGGCCATCAGCTGCTGCCCTCCATTAGAAGGAAGCTGGGTGGGAAGTGCAGAGTAGCTGGGAATTGAGCCAGGCACTTTGATATAAAATCTGAATGTTCCATGCGACACCTTAACAGTACCCGTCCCAATATAAGTATTTTTGTGCATATATGTCCACCTCCATTGCCTCCTATATATCACATTTGAAGAAATTACAAGTGCTAATAATCCTTAAATTAGGAAGTTTTAAAAAAAGATTTTGATTTCTCCTGACTGCATGATTAATATATAGGTTAGTCCTTACAATGAAATGAAGTTTGGAGATCATAAAATCATTAAAATATTCATAATTTTTTCTTAACTTTGCTTAAAATAGATCCCTTTTTAATTCTATGAAACAGAATGACAATAAAAATTGTGTTGTTTTTCTCTTTGAGGTGTAATATCCCCTTCCCCATGCAGAAATAAACCAATAATGTTGTATCTACAATGGTAGCCAGGGAGAGCCTAACCAAGTACCAACTTTATCCTGTAGTCATATAACTAAAACAAAAGCTAACTAAATGAAAGCATTCCCAATCACAAAGTGATAGCTTCTTTGTGAAACCAAAAACTCACCTGCTGCAGTTTTACTACTGAGACTGGATGTCCCATATAAACAGGAGATTCAGGTTGAAGCTTGTATGTTCTTGACATAACGGGACTTAAGTCCAGAGAGGGTTGAGCCTGAAGTTGAGGGTCTGCAGAAGGAAGTGTGGATGACTTCGAATTAACCATTGGTGCAGGGCCAATGAGAAGATGAGCTGTTGATCCAAGGCCAGGTAAGCCAAAATTCACAGGTCCTGTATTTGGGAGGGTGCCAGGAGAAGACGACACTTGCCCAGGCACTGAGGGAGAATACAGGACAGGAAAAGCTCCCAGAGTAGGAGACGGTAAGACCATGCATGGAACGCCGAAGGAGGACATCTGAGCAGAGGATGTTCCCACACTAGGTGGGGGCTGATTGCCAGATACAAGCACATTGAAGCCATTTACTCCTGAAACTGAAGCAAAACAAAGTGAATCTCAACAGAGGGTTAAGATGCTACTCATGGCCTTTTTACATGGCAATGCATGGCAAATTGCTGGATGACAAAACCTTTCCCTGCTTGACCAGGACAAACCCATTTCTATGTTCTGCCTGTCCACATTGGTCTCACAGTAGTGAGCAAGACTGTAACTCACTTCTATCTACATGATCATTTGGTGGGTATGTCTGTGAAAGGATTTCTTTCTTTCCCCCCTTTTTTTGGTTTTATTTTGTTTTGAAAGTCAGAGAGACAGAGCTAGAGATATGGAGATAGATCTTCCATCTTATGGTTCATGCCCTCCACTTCCCAAATGTCTGCAAAAGCCAGGACTTGGCCTGGCTGAAGACAGGAATTGATAGCACAATCTAGCACTCTCCCATGGTAAAAAGGACCAAGTACTTCAGCCATTACCTGCTGCCTTCTAGAGTACACATTAATAGGAAGCTGGATCAGAAGCAGAGCTGGGACTCAAACTCAGGCACTCTGATAGAGAAGCCGTAGTCCTAAGCAATGTTGTAACCACTGTCTGTCTGTCCCCCACCCCTTGAAGCTTTCTCAATCTGAGTTCCACTGAGTTCAAAGGGAGGAGCAAAGTAAAACTGGGATGGGAAAAAGTCTATTTTCACTTTTTGCAAACTTCTATCTGAAAATTTAGATATATCCCTCATTGTTCATCATAGACAGTAAATAAAATATTAACAGTTCCTTGACCTTTACATTAGTAAAAAGTATAGTTATGATCATATTACATTATAACCGTTGCACATGTTTAAATAAACATGGTCAAGCTAATCAGTTTTGAAGTGACAATATTGGACCTGCTACTAGATTTTTATTACTATAAATTTAAAAAATAATTTTTCTAATTTGTGTTTCAATATAATTGGCTTTCTTTATAACTTTATTCTCTGCATTTATAAATGGCTGGGGAATCTACGGGCCCCGCCAAAATGCCAAAGGGTCTATACCACAGAAAAAGAAAATTCCTGTGTTTGGGTCTAATTTTCCTTCCACAGGGACTATGTTTTTGTTCATCACCATCAACACTGATTACCATGCTAATGTAAGCACACAATGCTAAAGGCATAAAAAATATTTTCTAGACAGGTGAATCATAATAAATATCTACCCAATCTGTTCTATGTCAGTAATATCTAGTCTGTTCTGGTAGATTTAAACTTAACCCAACCAAGAATTGAAGATCAGCTTGAGTACCACTGCATCAAGAGCTGCTTTATGTAAAAATGTGCCTAGGTTAAAAATTAGGAATCTATTGTATGTTAGCTTTAATTCAAAATAGTAAGCATTTATTGAGTCTTACTACTTGCAAGGCATTATTTTTCTAAGTGCTTTAAATATACTATCTTATTAGGTTAAATTCAGTTTCCACAGCACTGCGAGGAAGCAGAGTATATTATTGCTGTTTTGCCCATGAGGATGGCTCAATACCTGTCTTACGTTGCTATAGATAAGTGGTTATTGAATGTCAAAACCTCATACCCTACTCTTGATACTTGATAACTATGATATACTCATTACATCTACATTTTTGAGATCAGATGGGTAGCTGTGTAATCATAACCAGTAGGTGCAAACTGTTATGCTGAATGTCAGAATTAGCAGAATTATAAAAACAGAATTACTTTTGAAAGTTATGCTTTTTAAGCAATGAAGTTTAATGTATGGAAAAGATAACTGTCCAAATTATTTTTCTATTATACTTAAAGTTGATGAAACTAGACATAGCCTCACCTTTCATTTTATAAGATGGAAGAAATAAGGGGCAGAGTATGACTTAGAGCAAACAGACAGTAACCCATCCAAGGAACCACTTCGGCTACATGACATGGACAACTATTTAACAATCTACCTTCTGATTTGGCTTCCCCAAGGCCTCCAGCACATGATGCCATCCCTTACCAGCTGGAGACTGCACATAAAGGCACTGTAGCAGAGAAGGCTCTTGGAGACTTTCATTTTCTTTCATAGGCTTTTCAGCATCTATATTTCTTGATGAACTTCCCCACTCAGAAGAAACAAAGCCATTAGCTGTAGCCTTTCCTGAAACTTCCTTTGAAGCAGGGGGGTGACTATTCACAGGATAGTCTTTGAAAGGTATAGTTTCACTGCTAGCCATCATCTTTGGAGAGACACGGTCTGTGGATTCTGATAATTTCTAAGTACAAGAAAACAAGAGAAAAGAAAAGCCAATCAATATTCTAATAATAAATCCTAATAGCTTTTTCAAATTAGCTTTCATAAGGGTATTTAAAAAAATTCATGAACAAAGGAATTAACAGATCTGCTTATTTTGGTGTAGTTTTAATATCCATTCATGTTAGCTTTTCATGACAATAACAAAATATCTATTTGGCTCATGGTTTTGGTGTTCAAGATAGGGTGGTGCCACCGGTTTGTCAGGTAGTAAGAGGAGCATGTGCCTTCTCTAGTAAACCCATCATAATTTGGTCTTGGGAGGTTTTAGCCTAACAACAAAATTCAATCTAACCACATCCCAAAAGTCCACTTCTAAACACTATTCATTATGCTACGTTTCTACCCCTCTTCATCCCATTAATCTAAGACTGGGGAGCAAGCCTTCAAATATGGGCTTCCACGAGATATCAGACTATCTCCAACCATGATATCATGCATTGTTTAGTTGTACTGTGATTTTTTAATGAAATTTTTGAAGACTACTTTGTAAACAAATACAGCTATGTCCCACACTGATAGGTATCTACTAGTTGTTCTAGTTTTAATTAAAAGAATTGTCTGAAATGAACATCATATGGATTTGTAGGATTATGACTCCCAAGTGCAGAAATGAGAGAATTTAGTTATGGAAAACTAGCCATGGTGTTTACATTGTGAAATAAAAGTTCTGAGCTGGCTTCACAAAAAGTTTCTGATGCTGTAATTTTCTGGTTGACCCACTGAACTCTGCTGCAATCACAGTGTGTCTGCTTCCTGAGGCTGTGGTCACATCTCCTTAACCTCTGAAAAGCTACCAAGCAGGAGATAAACACAGCTCAGTTTTTTGGTCTTCTCTTTTACTGCTAGGATAATGGGATTACTGAGCAGTAAAGAGAACTGAGTGTGGCCCCTGATAGCAAGACACTGGCCACATTTCTGATTTTGGCACTCAGCTGCATCCTGGATGAAAATGATTATTTTACAGGTTCCAAAAGACTTTTTAAAAAGTATACAAGAATGAAAGGAAGGAAACATGCAGCCATGTTCACAGTGATTACTACCTTTATGTTGTGAGGTAATTCTTAGCTTTTCTCACTTCTTAGCTTCTTCAGACTTTATAGTGTGACTTTTACTAAAACCACTTTTCTATAGTACTATGTTATGACTAGATGTTTGGGATACCCAGCTCAGTGCTCAATTAATCATGCAAATGATACATGAAATATTTTCATGGTATCCATGGGTGTTCCTAGGAATCAGCACAGGTTGACAAGATGTTGCTAGATATACCCACCCACTCTGCTTACCTTAGGCATGACAAGGGAGAGGGGGCTGTCTTCCAATTTCCAATTTTGTCTTTTAGTGGCCGGCTCATCTTCTTCCTGATGTTTCCTATCCTCACAGAGGCGTTTCTGAGCAGAGAGTAGAGATGATAGCTCTTGTGCAACAGGGACTTCTGAGCTTCTGCTGTCCTTCTCGGATGTCAACCCTGGGGATGGTCCCTCTTGCAAGCTCCCATACAGCATGACCAATGAAGAGGAGGGCATGTACACCAGGGGCTGGCCAGCTAGCAGAGCTGGTTTCAGGTTCTCCAGGTCAGAGGCCGCAGGAGTGAGGGAGGCACCTACTTGGCCATTCAGACCTTTTTGCACAGAGAAAGCCTGCAAATCTGCCTGAGCCACAGAAAACACTTGATGAGCTAAAGGACTGGCATAATATTCTGAGTCAACAGAGAGGGAAGGCGTAATAGTGCTCAAACTGCTAGATGGAGGCACCACTGTCTTACTGGCAAAGACTTTTCTTCTGTAATAAAAAGAAACAAAGAGTCCAAGTAAGTTACCACATTCTATCAGCCTCTGATTATTTGCTTTCCTAAAGAGCCACACCATATTAGGAGTGTGGGAATGGCTTAAGCTGATACCCAAATGCGTTCCCTGAGCACCTATCTGCTATCCCCAGCAGTAGATGACTGGGTGAAATCTGGACAGGTCAAAGATGGGATGGTGGAGCTCATGTGAGACCTCAGGTAAGCGCACACACTGGCTCCTCCTCCATGCCTCCTACCTTTACTAGCTATCAATTCTTCAGCATTTATTCCCTTAGTGGGCAAGCAGATGCTATCATGATGAACCAGTGTAACAGTTTTAACCACTTACTATATTGAGAGCTACCCTTCTTAACCCAAAGCCCTCTGGCAGTATACTAATGCAGAAAGTGAAGCCCAACTCTCAATTGTTCAAGTAGAATTGGGCTCCTATCACATCTGCTTCTTCTCTAGTACTAATTCCCCTTGCTCACAGCAGCCAGAATAATCTTCACAGACTCTACAATAGTTCTTTCTGAAAAATCCAAATGTTCTGCCTCTCTATCAAACCTTATGGCTAATATAACCACTTCTAACATACAAGTTATTGTGGGTAATATTTCCTTTATACTGTTGGGAAAATTACCACAGCTAAACTATGGCCCAGCTCTTGTCCCTGTGCAGACACAAAGGGGAAGCACAAATTCTTAATACAGAATTAGATAATTTTATATTTTGATAGGGGACATTTCAAGTAAGTCAAAGTTAACACAAGGAAATAGGAAAGAATAGATTTTAAAGAATACTTACTGTGAAGTGTCCTCTAGTTTGTGTCTATAGACAGCTGCCAGACTTCCCATTTCTAAGGTATAGCTATTTGATCCTGAAAAGGAAAAAGAAAGCTTAACACAGACACCAACAGACTGAACACACACTAGTTAAAAGAGGGTAGACTGCTCAATGTACTATTTACAGTTCAGGGATTCCAAAAACATTTCAAATCTGTTTTAGTTCTGAGACATTTCCAGAAGCTATCTAAAATGGTAACAGTCTCCAACAATGATAAGTGCAGTCTCCTCAAGAATTAGTAAACAAATATAATAAAACAAGCATTGCTCTTTAAGTCTGATAAATTCTAACACCAAATAGGCCAACCATGACAAGGTGATTCAGTATCAATTGCAGGACTGGGATTGTGATCACACACTGTGAAGCAGATATTCATCTCCTTTACGCCCAATCACTGTTTTACTTCGGACAAGTGAAGTGTGGATCTCTGGCTAAAACTGGCAGGACTTGGAGTCAGCACATGCAGTAGAGTCACAGGAAACAGTGTGGCCTTGACTACCTGGTGATGGATGGGTTCCATGCACTGCGCTTGTGCAGCAGATACCTTGTTCTCTGCAGGGGCTGCTGGGTTCTGAGTTTACTTTCCTCTGGATCCTCTCAGAAGCCTGAACTGTGTGAAGAGAACCATAACGAGCCAGCCTCTGTTTTGCACCAACTGGGATCTGGTCGTATGTTTCTCTTGTCAGTTCTGGTAAGACAGATGCAGAAACATCCACCACGTCTTCATCTACATAAATAAATGAGAGAATTGGTAACGTTGTTATGTAACTGTAATTTATGCCATTTTATTCTTTTTAAAGGGATGGCTTTGAACCTCTGATTGGAATAGAGCTATACCATAAATCAAAAACTAAGACCATCAAAGGAATTTTATGAGCCTTGTCTCAAACTCCCAATTATTTTCAATGTACTTTTGGGAAGTTAGTGGAAGACTTATAAAGTGAGATTGAAACCATATTTTTCTAAAATTATTAGAATGACAAAAAAACTAGAGCAAGATGTACTTTAGACCAAACTAGAATGGGCCTGATATTCACATACTCTGTTGGTATAGAGAGTACCAAAGTAAATCCAATCACACTCAGCCCAAACATTTTGAGATTCACTTTCAAGAAAAAATGAGATCAACCTTTATGCCACAGCTCCAGGACGGTGAGTTCAAGAAACTTGATTTTTAAATTATGCCTTATTATTTCTTTTATATGTAGTATAAGGATTAGTTATTAAGTGAGCAAAGGAATACGGCCAGCAGAAAAGTCAAGGTTGAAGTGTGGCAGAACAGTGAGGTTAATCTAAGTAGAAGGCTAGAACCTGGAACTAATTTTGTGCTTAAAGGAGTCCGTGTGAAGTTAAGACAGAAGTTCAACAAGAGTAAGTACAAGAAACATGAAGAGTCTATCATATAACACACAGCAAGCTGCCTCAGAGATGAAAACAACCAGGGCAGCATAATATATCATATGCAGAAGAGCAGGTAACAGTAGATTCCTTGTCAAATTCAGTGCAAACTAAAAGACAATGGAGCAATTTCTTTAAAGTACCAAAAGAGAAACAAAAGAAATTTCAACCTATAATTCAATGCCCACCCCACCCTCAAAATGGTGAAATAATGTTTTCAGATATGCAATAGCTAAAATAATTATCACTAGCAGACCTGTAATACAAGAGTAAAGAAAGCCCATCACAGTAGCACAAAGCCAGACAAGGAGAAATGAAAAAAGGTTACTGTAAGACTCTTATACAATATGTACAGTAGAATATCAGACCGTATTAAATTAAGGATGCATACCATAAATCCAAGAGCAGCCCTTAAAATTAACATGAGGTACACCCATTCAGTCAACAACACAACAAATGTAGATAGTAAGTCAACAAAGGAATTCAAGTGGAAGCATAAAAAAATACTAATTAAATTGTAAAGAAAAAAAAGAAACAATTGCGACTCAGAATACAAGCGGCAAGAAGGCACATTAAAATCCCAGATTAAGGCACCACATGAAACATAAATAGCTTCATCCCAATTCAAAAGAAAAAAAAAATATCAGATTGAGGGAGGGGGGAAACTTCAAATATATTCTTTACACTAGAAACTCATCTTAAATATAAATATAAAATACTTAAAAGGATGAACAACATATCGTATGCTAACTAATAAAAAAAAAACAAGGAATATAAACCAGGAATAAGTAAACATGAAATCAATATTAATACAAAAAAATCAGGTGACACTGTTAACCAATTTGACCATGTTTTCATTTTTAGAATATGTCACCCAACACAAAGGAATAAGTGACAGGATAAGTGACAAGTCATTTACCGAGATGGATCACCTCTGTGACACACAACAAATATAAAAAAATTTAAAAGGATTCATTATACCAAGTATGTTCCCTGATCACATGGACCAAAATTAGAAGCAAGGGAAAGATACTTGGATAATTAGATTATCTCAAAACTACGTAACACACACCTAAGTCATGGGTCAGAGAAATCAAAAGGGGAAAAGGTATTTCGAATTGGAAATCAATGAAAACACATAAAGCACAAGATGTGGGATACAGCTAAGACAATATTAACAGGGATATTTATAGGACTAACAAAGTATTAGAAATGAAAAAAATGGTCTCAAATTAATGACTTCAGGTTCCAACTTCAGCAGCCAGAATTAGAAAAAACTGAACTCAAAGCAGAAGGAGTTACTAGAGACAATTTCAGTAGCCTTATAGTTATAAAGGAGATTATAATCAGCAAATCTTTTTGCCTAGAAAACTCTAGAGTGAGGTGGCTTCACTGATGAAGTGTTTTCAGAGCTTTAAGAGAAACAAACATCCCCAAAACCATACCAATTCTACACAAATTTACACAGAAAATCACACAAGTGATTACTTCTCAACTCATTCTAAGAGGCCTAGATTGCCATGATAAACAAATCAATACAATAATTTAATACAGTCTGTAAAGTATCACAGATAAATGGGCAAATTTGTTTTCAGTATCAATGAAAAGAAAAAAATAGTCTTTTCAACAAATGATGCCAGCATACTGGAAATGCAAAAGAAACAAACAAAAATTAAAAAAAAAGCGCATCCCATTTATCCACACCTATATTTGTTTCCATGGGTTAGGCAAAGATTCCTTAAATACAAACTGAAAGAATGACCTGTAAAAGAAATGACTAAAGTGAGTAGCCTAGTTTTGGGAACTAGGAAGCAGTCAAAAGATGAGTAAGGTTGATGTCTAATCTTCAAGTATTTATGGCAGGTGGAAAGATGACACTGTCTAGTATACCAAGGAAAACAGCACATTACTAAATGGCCACTGTTCACATGGGACACTCTGCATTGAATGATCAGGACCAGTTTCATGAAGAAGTTGGCATCTGAGCCAGATCTTGAAAGTTGAGAATACATTTATGTTGAAAAGGAGCAGTGGGCTTTACAGGGAAAAGGATAGGACGAGGCAAAGACAGAAAAGGAAATGTCAAAGTTGTGTAATTCAGACAGGCAGGGATATTACACACCCCTGATCTCTTGTAACATGTAGCATTATGCGTGGCATAAGGTCTGTAAGTACTTACTAAGTTGAATTAGTTATACTTGATCTTAAGTGGTTTCAGCTAGATACAAAGTGAATTTTTTTTTTTTACACATGAGATAGAGAATTGCATTTCTACAAACCAGGATTAAGTGCTTGAATTTAAACCACTACACTAGAAAACTTGAATGTTCTCAGTTATGTGTAAAGTAGCTGGTACAGATAAATCTAGGCCTTGACTTTTCAGATATTAACCATGACAGAAGAGAATAACCTTTTTCACTCCAATTTAGCAAAATGGTATTTGTAACCTTTTAAATAAATTGCAAAAAGAGTGTTCACTGCATATGTACTAATTTAGAAGCCACATACTAGTTTTGAGATAGCAATTGATATACTTTTTACATTTTCTGCCATTCAGAGAAAAACAAGATTTTACTCTGCTAATAGAAACAACCTGAATTTAAAAAACAATTCTCAGTTCTAAACTTCCAGAAAAAACTTTGAAAGAAAATATTCTCAAGAGTTTTAACTTAGTAGTTATAGAACTCCCACATTTGTAAGTCATGAAAGTTTTCATTCCTACTCTGTGAGCCAACATCACAAACCATTTGTAGGCTAACAGTTATTGCTCCTAGAGTGGGGACACCAGTTCAATCTTGTATGTGGTGTGGGTTATGGGAGAGGTGATCAGTTTCACTATATGGTAGACACAGGAATTGAAAAAAGGCATTGGGAATTTAAAATTATACAGGTCCCCAGCACAATCATGTTCCTTACCACTGGAGCTGAAGTCCACGGGCCCAATCCATTTGAATGCTGGTTTACGGCCCCGTTCTTCTGTTACGTGCACTTTCTTTATCAAAGCCAGGCTGGTCAAAACATTGGCTATGTCATAGAGTCGCCGTACCTTTGCTTGAAGATATAAAATACAGTGATGGTCATGCCATGTATGATAACCACAACAATTTAACTTATGTGACACGTGAAGTTTCTTAGCCACCACATGAAGCCTCACGTAGAAAGTAGCAGAACAGGCTAGGGACCAGTGGCTCTGTCATGAAACCACCCAGGATTTACACATCTGATATATCTAAGGCACACAGTAAGGGAAGGTTAGTGTGCCCTTCACACCTCTGACAAGAAGCACCCAGTGACAAGTAGGGAACACCATATTACAAAAACAACAGGGGAGAAAATGGGCTTAATTAAAAGTTTGGAAGGAAAGGTTGCCCTGGGTTTCTCACAGGAGATCATGGCACTAGTTCCATCGTGCGGCCAGCCTGTGACAAAGACAGAGATTCCTTGGAGCTTCCAGTGAGGCTGCACTGCTGGCACAGAATGCACAGAATGCAAGGTTAGGAGACACTGTGCTAAACAGACAGACAGCTCCTCACTGGAAACTCGGGAGATCTCTCACCCAGCGAGCGGAGAGGGCTGTGTGGTGGGTGCACTCCCTGAATTTTAAAGAGATTTTAAGGCACAGCTAGAGGAAAAATTCAGGAGGAGGAGGAGGAGACACATTAAACAGGAAGGATGATGACCACAAAGTAATTGCTATTTAAGTTGATTAGCAGGAAGGAAGTCCACTTTACCTCAGCACTCAGCTGAAGCAAAGGAGCTTTATTATTGTCCAGAAACATCAGTCATTCACCTCAATGCAACTTTCCTTTCAATTCAGATAGGGCTGGACTTTATCCAGCCATTCCACAGGTGACTGCCAATCCATGTGTAAACAAAAAGTCAGAGAGCACTGATTTCAGGGTTTCTTAGGACAGTGGCACAGGGTCCAAACTCAACACGAAGAAAGATTTGCTGGGTGTGAATTTTGAACTCTCCCAGCCCAGCAGCCATGTCCCACCACCCTTCCCTGGCCATTCTTCTGGGTCTTACCTGTAGACAACTCCCATCTCCACCCTTCAGAGTAGTATGCAGGGGGTGGGGAGAAAAGGGGAAAGAAAACTCAGACATTCTATCTTGAATGCAAGCAAAAATAGAGAAAAATGCAAAGAAATTCATATTCTCCCTGATGTTAAGGATGGCACCGTACTTCTCATGGTCCACCAGAACCCTCGAACAAGGCATGTAACAGCTAAAGAGGAATTCTAACTCTAAATGAGCAGATTTATTAAGTCACACACACATTATCTCAGAGGCAGAAGACAGCAGCATACGAAACCCAATCCCTTCTGTGTTGTTAAGTGGATGATTTAGATGAAAAATCTTACTTTTAAATTTACTGTGGTCTGGGGTATCCTGGCTTTCTTCTATCAGTATTTTGGCAGCCATATCCAGGGTAACTATCTTGGTTTTAGAGACCAGGAACAGCATGACAAACTTCTGGCTCATGATCCTCAGAGATTTGTCTTTCCTACTGTGTGCAGATGCTACAAAGGAAATGAAACAAAACATCAAAATCATAGGTTTACCACAAGAAAGGCTGTTCTTACACTTTGTCAGAACTGTGTACTTCTACCGACAGATGGAAAGATGAACTTCATAGTTAGCAGCATATTGGACCCACATAAGCTCAGTTCCTAAAGAAACAAAACAGGTTTTCTTAACAGCTGATAAAATTATTCCACATTTGGCCTAAAATCTGAAAATGACCATAGTAACCTTCTCATAATACTTCCTATTTACACATCATTTTGACAGAACCCATGAAGTTTTCCTGAAGCAATGTTTTGAACAGAATAATGGAGAAAGATCAGAGGACAGGGTGGGGTCTGCAACTGTTTCCAGACCTAGCTCTCCTCTCAAAGGTGAGGACTTTGTTTTACTTCTCTGTGTCCATAATCCAAACAACAGTAGATGTCCATCTCTTCTATTTCTTTTCAGAAACAGGTGAATCAATAAGCCATATCTAAATAGGAGACCGATAAAGTGTGTGTTCCACTGGGTGGCAGACAAACCCTAATAGAGATAGCTGTGTTTCTTGGTAGTTAGGATAAGGACTGGCCATGGGGTGGAATGAAAAGCATGAGGTCACGAATAAAGCAGAAAACAGGCCCATATCTTTCCATTTCTATTTTTTGTATTTGTAACTGAAATGTGACTGATGCCTGTACTATGTCATCTTTGAAACAGGTGAGGTAGTAAAAATGGCTATAAAAGGAGAAAAATATGAACTGGGGGTGGTGGTGGTGAATGCAGATCGAAATCAAATTTTTGTACCAAATGAAAACTGAGGTTATCAGCCTTTCTTCTTAACATTTTCTGATAGGGACTGTTTTTCCTAAGTAATCTACTCCAATACATAACTAAATACAATTATTTAAAAAGAAAATTCATTCATGATAAATGTTACTAAACAACTCATAAAAAGAAAATAGCACAGGGCTATTAGATCTAAAATGGGAGCACTGTGGGTGATGTACAGCTCAAATCTGCCAAACACCAAGTGAACTTTCACTACACAGGGTTTTAAGCCAGGTTGATTGGGTGGCCCCAAACATTCGACAAGTTTTAAGCCAGGTTGAGTGGGGAGCCATCTGTTTTTATTTCTGTTTTGCTTTCTTGAGCAGAGAGTATAGAGGACATCTTTTTCGCAGGCTGTCAATCTGCCACTTCCTAATTCCACAGGGAATCTCTTCAGGAGAGACACCACTTGCAAGGCTCCAACAAACTCACATGAGGGGTAGTCGGGTTCTGAGAAATCCAACAACTGTTGATCCTGAGAGTCCAGATAGCCATCTTTTTTATGTTCTCCAAATTTATATTCCATCAGGTCCAGCTCTTTCTGTTGGAGGAATGCCATCTGTTCTTCATATTTCTGCTCCTCTCCTAATCTCTGGAGGTTCCTTAGGGTTTTGGACAAGCTGTGCCTTCCATGCCAGCCATACTGATTCTTGGCCACCCGGCTGACCAGATGCAGTGACTCTAACACATTTACAATGTCATAGATGCGTCTCCTTTCAACACCTGTTTGGACAAACAGAAGCAACAGACATGATGAAGCCAAACATTTCTGAAATTTCATAAATTCACTGAGGGCCATGATCATGTCTGTGAATTACTTTGTATTGTGCCCATTGTCACATTCAGCAAGAGTACACAATAATTAAATTCAAATAGTAAGAAAAGAAGCAATGGAAATGTTTCTTTTTTCTTCTTGATACCCAATCCTCCAAAATGATCAAGGATAAAACATATATTTAGAGATGATGATAATTCTATCTGTATAACATCTAGAACATAGCAACTGACTTTTACTCTTTTAGGAAACCACTGCTGGTCTTGACAGACACTTGATGAATGGACAGTTGATTTTGATTTGTACTTCTAATTATGCAGACTATAGAACAAACTATTTCCATCAACTGCCATTTCGTTGTTGGAGTTTGGGACAATGGAAAAACTATCCTGATAACTTTTAATGGCTCAGTAATGATGGCAAGTGTTTCATATTATGACTGGAAACTTGGGAGTCTAATAACTCAGTTTCCAGAGAACTGGAAGAAAGGAGTATCCTTCTCAAATGGCAAGAGCAGTCAATAGCCATGCTGGTGCTACCTACCAGCATCCTTTGGTCACTGTGGCCATCAACAACCCTGATTGTATTCCCATCCAACACATTCTGCCAAGGAGCCCAAAAGTGAAGCACAGAGATCCTAGTATAAGTTGTACATGAAGTTCATCAACTTCCTACACACACTTTCCCAACACTTCCAAACAGCTATAAATACCAAATTTGGTAGAAATATGTATGGTTAGATCGCCTAGTTTCATTATTTTCCCAAGTCTTAATATTTATCCTATAAACTAATCAGGATTTAAAATGAACATAAATGTAAAGGCTTCCCAATAGATGTTAACTGTACCTAAATGCTTTCTGCATAGCATTGGAGATACCTAAAATTCCAGCTAGCATAAGAGGTCACAGTAGAGACAGGTTTTGATATTCTCAAGTCTATGACTATTCTATTGTGCCACAGGCCCTTTTCCCCTCAGCTATGTATCATAACAAAAGCCTCCAGGCATCTTGCAGAGAAACAGACCACCTAAAAAGATGCTGTAATTCCTTTCTCTTGCCAAAGGCTGTTATAAAATCAGGAAATACTCAGTGACTAGCTTCTGGCCCTCTACTGATTTAAAATGAGAAAAATGCAGAATCATAATGAAAAATCAGGAGCTGAGGAACTTCTATGTCATGCACGGAAGAAACATTTCACAGTCTATTATTAGGACGGTTCAGCTCATGACTCTGAAGGGCTCTGTCACCCTTAGGAAGCTCAGGCTTCACTGCCAGATGCCTGTTAGAAGGCTCTGGCAGAAGCAGCCAGCAGTCCTTCATCCAGAACTGCCTGGTTCTTTCTCCCAGCTTGTTTTCTTTCTTTCTTTTTTTTTTTTTTTTAAAGATTTATTTATTTATTGGAAAGTCAGAGATACAGAGAGGAGGAGAGACAGAGAGGAAGATCTTCCGTCCAGTGACTCATTCCCCAAGTGAGCGCAACGGCTGATGCTATGCTGATTTGAAACCAGGATCCAGGAACCTCTTCCTGGTCTCCCACACAGGTGCAGGGTCCCAAAGCTTTGGGCTGTCCTCGACTGCTTTCCCAGGCCACAAGCAGGGAGCTGGATGGGAAGTGGAGCTGCCGGGATTAGAACTGGCGCCCATATGGGATCCTGGCGCATTCAAGGCGAGAACTTTAGCCGCTAGGCCACGCTGCCAGGCCCGCCAGTTTGTTTTCATATATTATATCTTGCTTACAAAGTAATATCTACACACCTTCCCTTTAGGAATGTCATGTGAATGCAACTGAGACACCCCAGAGCTAGTCATATGCCAAGCTGTTTTGTCATTTTATATTTGATAATAAGCTGTTAAGTCTCCATCTAGTGGCCAGACAGCCCAAGAAGGAAAAAACACAAGTTTCTGAACACCACCAGCAGAGTGAGATGATGCTTGATATCCCCAATGAGTGCTTAGTAGGTGATTTTGGTGAAAACTACTGTGGCAGTCATTTGTCTGAATAATCATTCATCTATACATCCTGGACTGAGTTCAGCTGTATCATTAGCAGGTGCACTACAAAGTTCTGGTTCACAAGTACCAAGACCTATAGTTTACTCTGGAGGCTTGCTATCAGAAGATTTTCCCTGCATTCAGACTTCTACTTTTATATTGAGGTCATCCTATTACCAAATGTTTCTGTGCTTTCCTTAGTTCCCAGTGGACTTTATCAAGAACAACTCTCAGTCCATTAAAATAGCTACCTAAGATGTGCTATTTTCCACTGACTAAAATAGCTTCGTAGGCTCTCCTATTTTCCAGTTCTTTAAATTCATACCCATAATATCATTGTCAAATCCACATGGCACCAGAATCTGGGAAATAGTGTAATACGCTCTGTACCCTAGTCCTACAGCCTATAACATGAGATGGAGTAGTGAGTTGGGACTTAACCCCAAGAGAAACAGCTTCCAGGAATGGACCCCATTTGAGTCTCACATGAAGAAAGAGGAAATGCTCATTTGGCAGGTGATCAGATGAACTGCTGTAAAACTCTCTGGAGACCAGCAACAAGAGGCAGCCATAATACAAGAATCAGGATAACCTGCAGCCCCTTGAAACTAGGTGCCCCTGTTTTTCCTGTGGGGCCTGTAACTTAACCCTCTAACGTCTTATGTCTTCCATAACAGCAGCACAAGACATCTTGGTAGAAACTGGATTTATGGGGGAAGTAGGCTTCCTGAGCCCCAATGGAAAGGACACTGGAAACATGATGTTGTTTTTCCCTCACCTCATCTTCTTTTGTAAGACTTGTTTCCATGACCCTGTTACTAGTTTCACCTTACCCAGCCGGTTCAGCTGGTTCACTCTCATGTCATTCTGATTGTCACCAGTCCTAGAACACTGTCTTATATACGAAATGACTCCCCACTTTAGTACTCTACTTCCTCCTCCCAGTTCTAGAATCTGACAGGAAAGTAGCACACAAGAATCCTAGTAAGATTTTAGTAGAAAATATTTTTTATTAGAAACAGATGAAAGAGCTACCCAGGTCAGACACTAAAAAAATGTCTGGTGCTAGCGTTTCCCTAACTCTGCTATGTCTCTACATTGTAGGTACTATAGTTCCTTCATTACAGACCAAAAATAATAAGTAAAGCTCTATTAGCTTTTCAAAGTTCTTATGGCCTATAAGTTGATGAGGTAGGCTTCATGTCTAGCCCAAAGTCCACCCTATGGCCTTCCTACCACAACTTATTGTCTCTTCATTTCAGTTTCCAATAATCAAAATCTTCTTTGTTGCTTGAAATAACTCACATTAGTAACCACCTCCTGGGGAACATTTCTCTTGAACTAAGAACATAAAAATCTAATTGGTCATTTACTTATTTGGCTGTTTTTTTTCCCAGAATTTTCTATTTCCTATATATAAAATCTTCCAATTTTTTATTTTTCAAGAAGATTTATTTCTTTATTTTTCTTGGAAAGGTAGACTTACAAGATGGAGAGACAGAAAACCCTCTGTCTTCTGGTTCACTCCCCAAGTAATTGCAATACTTGCAGCTGAGCCGATCTGAAGCCAGAAGCCAGAAGCCAGGAGCATCCTTGGGTCTCCCATGTGGGTGCAGGGTCCCAAGGCCCTGGGTCATTCTCTACACTGCTTTCCTAAGGCCACATGCAGGGAGCTGGATGGGAAGTACAGCAGCCAAACACAAACCAGCACCCATATGGGACTCCAGCACTTACAAGGCAAGGATTTAGCCACTGAGCCATTGTTCTGGGCCCAAAACTTTGCAATTTAAAACAGAATACTCTGACACTTTGAAATCATTGTGATTTCTGCTTTTTCAGAATTACCCACATAAATATATCCTGAGACTAACTGTAGTCCATGTCCACTAGGGGTCTCTATTCTGCAGCAGCGGCATGGTATACACACACAGTCATGCCATGTGAGCACATGTGCTCCTCTTTGTTGTAAGGCTCGGCTGTCTCTGTCCTGATGTGCTTTTTCAAGTTTGACAGCCTTCCAGACTGTCAAGCTATGGAGTTCAAACATAATTCTCAGGTTCTCAAATTCTGCTTTACAAACAGGAATAATACCAGTCCTGATTTCTTAGAAGCATTATGAAAAACAAAGATATATTTCTAAACACTACTTAAATCAATCTGAAGATGAATTTAAAATATGATATATTATATATGCCACAAAAAAACTATTGCTTTTTAACAAAATTACTAAGGCTAACAACCCTGGAATTTTTCAGCAGCCTCCCTAGAATCCTTTGTATAAGGAAGAGAAATTTGATAATGACAAAGGAAGCTCTGCCTGCTCCCCTGTTCTTGCTGCTGTGGAGGGAACCTGAAGACTTCCACATGCCCAAGGAAACCGGTTTCCCCACTGCAACTTGAGACAGTAATCTGGTGATACATACCAAGACTGACAGCAACTTCATCTAGGGAGATGGTAGTTTTTTCAGTTGATAAGGGATAACTTGGATAACGCGCTAGAAACTTCTGGCACAGGAGTCCTAAACTTTTTTGTTTTCTGCTTGGCCTTTGTCTTTCAAATTCATCAACAGCACTGTCCCCAACAACATCAAGCTACAGAAGACAGAAAAAAGGGGGAGAAAAGATGTTCACAATTAATATTCTAAAGGAGAGATTGCAATGGTTGGTACTGGTTATCTGGAGGGAATATTCAAATGTAAACCATCTAAGATTCTGGCCAGAATACATTTCCTAATCTGTTTGTGATTCATGTTTAACCAGTCATATTCTGAGAACTGAATTTTAAAAATCTCTTTTGCAATCTGAGACTCAGTCCACTGGATAAGTTTTTGTTTTTTTTTTTGGCACATGCAAAACGTGGTCATTGATAGATCTCCACCCTGAATACTAGTGTGCTTCTTAGAATTGTGGAATCAGCTTCCTGGAATTTTGTTAGAGATGCAGAATCTTGGGCCTCATCCCAGAACTGGTGCAGTAGAATCTTGAAGTTTGAAAAGCACTGGCCTATTCTGTATCACCAGTTTTCTGTTTTATAATTAACGAAAGGTTGATGAAACTGAACGAGAGTAGTTAAGTCACATTCATCTTCATTATTTCTAATGTTTAAGTACATGAAATTACCATTCTTGACTCACTAACTGATCTGTGAAAAGGGCTCTCTATTTAAGCCCCAAGAAAATACAAGGCTTTTCAATAAACATATTCAAAGATAAAAGTGATATGATTATCTCTAAAGACTCAGAGAAAACATCTAATAAATTTAAGACTCATTGATGATTTCAAAAATGTCCTTAGAAAACCAGGAATTCCTTTAATAAAGTGTATTCATGAAAAGCCAAAATCAAACATCTAACAGAACATTGTAAACACTGCCCTAAAATCAAGAAAATGTAAATATATCTACTCTGATTAACCCTCTTCCACATCATATTAGAGAGCCCAGTAAGAACCTGAGGACAAGAAAAAAAAATTGAGGCAGAGATTGGGAAGGAATAGCGAATTTTCACTCTGTAGAACATGAGACTTTCACATAAAAAAAGCTTCGATCACATTATTAAAAATAATAGTCTAAGAACTTAGCGAAGTTCAACACAAAACAAAATAGTTGCATTTCCATATAACAGTAATAGAGAATTAATAAACCATTAGTAATAAACCAGAAAAATGACAGAATTTTGGAGCAGCATGTGTTTTAATGAATGGGAACACAGCACCACAAAGAGGTTAATTCTCAGAATAATGCATAGATTTAACATAATTCCAACTAAAATTCAACCTAGAGTATGTATGGAAAAATAAAGAACTAAAAAGAGCCCATAGATGATGAAGAAAAGAAAGGTGAGGGTCCTGCTTTGCTCCATATCAAGGTTGACACTGGTGCAGAGATAGGCAACTGAAACAGACATACATATATATGAAACTTAAGGCACCTGAGAGAGGTGGTGGTGTATCACAAGAGGAAGAAACTACTTAATACATGGGACAGAGATAACTGACCATGCAGAAAAAAACCAAAGCTGTATTCCAGACTCCAGTATACCAAAAGCAATCTCAAATTAAACATACACGGTAATTTTAAATGAAGAAAATACAGGAGAATATCTTTTTAACTTTGGGATAGGGAGAGATTGCCTGTTTTAACGTTTGTTTTCAACTATTTGAAAGACAGAGAAGGGAAAGAAGAAAGATCTTCCATCCAATGGTTCACCCCTCAAATCCCTGGAACCAGGGCTGGTTGGAGCAGAGAAGTACAACCAACTCTCTAATATGGAAGGCAGGGGTCCAATAAGTATCCCGAGTGGTGGCTTAACCTGCTATACAACAATATCCATTTCTTTATATATAGAAGTACTCTTAGGAATTAGCTTCAGTATCAAGAATACATAATCAGTTCCTACAGATCAGTAATGAAAAAAACATAACCCAATAAAAATGAACAAAGAACAGAAACAGGCACTGCACAGGAGGAAAGAAATCTGGTGACCAGTAACCATATGCAAACTGAACTCATGAGTAATCAAGGAAAGGAAAATGAATGTATCACACTGACACAAATTGTATTACCATTATGTTGGCAGAGATTAGTGTTGTAGACATTATCTACTATGGAGATCAACAAATGTTTACACATTGCCAGTGGAAACAAACAGCATTTTGAAAAGCCATTTGGAATTATCCTGTGAACATAAACTTAATGACTTAGTAATTCCACTAAGTGTATATATAGCTCAGTTCTCCAACTTTCTTTTTTAAGATCTATTTATTTTTATTGGAAATTCAGATATACAGAGAAGAGGAGAGACAGAGAAAAAGATCTTCCATCTGATGGTTCATTCCCCAAGCGGCACCAATGGCCATAGCTGAGCCGATCCAATGCCAGGAGCGAAGAGGCTTCCTCCGGGTCTCCCACATGGGTGCAGGGTCTGAAAGCTTTAGGCCATCCTTGACTGCTTTCCCAGGCCAGAAACGGGGCTGGCTGGGAAGTGGGGCCGCTGGGACTAGAACAGGCATCCATATGAGATCCCGGTATGTTCAAGATGAGGACTTTAGCTGCTAGGCTATCGCGCAGGGCCCAGAATCTCTTTATATTCTTAAGAAATTATTTCATGTTTACTGGTTTTATGTACTGATATTGACTGTAATAAACTTAAGTAGAGGGGCCCAGCCTGATGATTCATTGGCTAAATCCTTGCCTTAAAAGAACCAGGATCCCATATGGGTACCAATTTGTGTCCTGGCTGTTCCACTTCTCATCCAGCTCCCTGCTTATGGCCTAGGAAAGCAGCAAAGTATGGCCCAAGTGTTGGAACCATGCACCTCTGTGGGAGACCCGGAAGAAGCTCCTGACCCCAGGCTTCAGACTGGCCCAGCTCCAGCCTTTGTGGCCACTTGGGTTGTAAACCAGCAGAAGGAAGTTCTTTCTCTTCTTTCTGTAAATCTGCCTTTCCAATAAAAATAAACATATCTTAAAAAACAAAACAAAACAAAAAAAAAAACTCAAGGAATTTAAACAGAAACGAAATGTTTAGTGAAAAAGGCTAAGTTTAGATATTATTTCAAGTTTCTTCAGTCCTGGCTTCATAAGAGAACTGGATTATCATGTTTGCTTTGTTTCTTTTTTTAAAAGATTTATTTTATACTGAAAAGGCAGACATACAGAGGAGAGACAGAGAGTTAAGTATTCTGTTCAATGATTCACTCCCCAAATGGCTGCAATGGCCGGTGCTGCGCTGATCCAAAGCCAGGAGCCTGGAAATTTCTGGCTCTCCAACATGGGTGCAGAATCCCAAGGCTTTGAGCCATCCTCCACTGCTTTCCCATGCCACAAGCAGAGCTGGATGGGAAGTGGGGCTGCAGGGATTAGAACTGGCAACCATATAGGATTCTGGTGTATGCAAGGCTAGGACGTTAGCTGCTAGGCTACCATGCTGGGCCCCAAGTTTAGTTTTTATTCAATCTGTTGCAATATCAACATAATATAGTATAAGACTCCACAGTACACTAAAAAAAAAAAAAAAAAAAAAGTTCAAACAGCCAGTATTTCAGTAGTATTATCAAAACAGTTTAGACTTCCTTGATCCCCAGAAATAATCCATGGGACACTGAAATCCCTGAATCACATTTTGAAAACCATTGTCTTAGACAAATTTTGGCCTGTAATCACTAGAAATCAAGAACAGGCATATCGTAACTTCATAATTACATAAACAACCAAAGTGGCAATAAACAAGAGTGGATAATGATATGTACATGCAATGGAATACCATAGAGCACTAAAAATGAGAAGTATGACCACACAGAAAAACACAAATGGATGTATGCTGACTGAAACAAACAAACAAACCAAAAACCAAAAAACAAAATCAAGTTACTCAAACCTGTATACTTTATGGATACTGTTTTACAGATCCTAACTCCTTTCCCCCAAAATGCATACATATGTAACATAGTGAGTTAAGTATGGCCAAGAAATCATAAACACAAAATGAAGAGAATAGGTATTCTGATGCAAATTAACAGTACTGTTCTGATTTTGGTAAAGCCCCAAACCACTGAATTGAACCACATATGACAACAGTGGAATTTCCTGGACCAAAAATATCTAGCTTAATATTATCTTTTATATCAGCACAAAATTAAAATTCACAGTAGTACTTGCAGAAACATTAAAAATCCAGAATCATGGATTCCATGACAAAGTTTTAAGATGTATACTTAAAAAAATATTATTTTCAAATGTATGTGGGCCACAGGAGTATCATACAGAAGAGTTTATAATGAAAATAAGGTATAAGGCAAGATTTCAGGTTTAAATAAAGATATTAATTTTAATACTACTTTTGTCTCAACAGGAACCAACATAATGAGAATTCCACATTTTTTTAATATTAAAACACAATTTTTCAGTTCTTTACTAGTCTTTAGCATGTTTACCTGGAGAGATTCTGTAAATGCATCATGCTTGTTTTCAATGGGTCTAAACAGTTCCTTTTTCTTCTCCCTGTCCCTTATGTCTGGGCTGGCAGCACTAATGAGCATCTTCAGGTTTGCTGTAGGTGTCCATGGTTCTGCCTGCTGCTTGTCAACAAGCTTGACTGGAGTAATGGGATTTCTTTCTGGAGTAAAGATTTTTTGCTTTGATAAATCAATTGGTTCATTTTTGATTGGAGTCTTTGGGACCATCCTTGAGCGATCAGTAAATATATTTTCCTATTAAGACAGAAAAAAAAGAGACTTTTTAGCAAGGATGAACAAAGACAAGTATAAACTAAAAATGCAATTTGCTTCCATCATTCTGTAACACTCGAAAATACAAACAAGGTCATATGTTCAGGGCTGAAAAGTACCAGGACTAATGATAAGACAGAAAGATTCACGGGTTATTGAGTGGTTCTAAAATGAGAAATAGGTTGTAATCTGTTCTTCCTTTTAAACATTTTTTATGCCATCTCTGTCAGAGTCATAGTTGTAGTTATAATTGGCCAATGTTTATAATAATCAGAGATGAAGAAAACCAATGTGGATGAAATCCATGTTCCTTCTGAGTGCTATGTTCTTAAAAACACTGTTTACCAGTTTCATTAGCTAGTGAACAGCAATTGTGCTTTTGTACTTCAATGTTCACCAGCGCTGAAAGAGTAGTAATATCAGTTAATGGAAAACCATCCAAGGAAACACCACATCTTAAGCAAATCTACAGAACAATCTAATGTTGTTGTGTCAGAACACTGTTTCTCTATCTGGACTACTATCTGTAGTAAAGGACCAGTGTTTGATTTTCAGACTCTGCATACTGACATGCAATTCCACTTTGTAAGACTAATCTGTATCTGCCTCACAAGTGATCTGCCACTTGAGTTTGTCAAACTAACCTACATGAAACCACTGATCAGAGACTTAGATGGCCCACTGGCAACAGTAGATTGCTTTTGGAACTTCTAAATGTTTAATTCCTAAATTTTGCTCTTAGGTTTTGCAGCCTTGGTAATAGTTTGTGGATAAACACCTGCCCCTAGACAACACTTGGGGGATAGACTTATGCAGAAAAGATGAATGATGAGCCCACCATGAAAAAACACTAAGTATACAGATCCACCTTTGAAACAAGCCAGTAATTCATAAAAATTTATTTCCTCTAAAATAATTAATTCATAGAAAGATTCTGCTTCTTCTGTAGTAAGATTTACTTCCAGTCAACAATATCTTACGTAATTATGAAAGTAGAGGATTTAATTATCAGTACACATTTTGCTCTACAGCAACCACATGCTCAATTTTGGCTGAGCAGTGATTTAAATAAAAAGTGCTAACTATATAAACAACAGGTGAAGAGGTAAATGACAACCGGGAAGAGCAGAGGTTGTGCTCACAAGCTAACTGTTATTCCTCAGACTGGCAGGTGCTGCAGCCATGTAACATCCCATCCTCACGCAAGGGCAGCCAGGAGATTGGGCTGATGTCTGCCATAGCAGTAGCAGAAGTAAGATCCCAGCCCAGAGTGCTGCTTCTGCCCACCTATGTTCATTTCACAAATGAACTCTCATGGAAATTATTAAGCATTTCAATAGATGCCAGACCCTGTTTCACATACTTTATGTGCATGAACTTTTCATCCGATCTGGTGGCATATATACTATCATCTTTCCAGTCCACCAATGAAGAAATTGAAGCACAAAAAGGGTCAGTAACTACCTAAGGTCACATATGAGAGGTCTTCCAAAACTTTGTGAACAGTGTATATTATGGGAAAAGTATGTGTGGATCTGAAAACTTTTTGCACGTTAGTCCATTAACTTTATGAAGTGCCCTCATAAAACTTCATCCAAGGCAAAAATCATTGGTCTAAAAGAAACAGCTAAAAACAGATGTTCTGGAAATTCTGCATTTAAACATGAGCCTTTCATGGGTGTAAACTGGGAGAAAGTTGTCTTTCCCAGAGCGGCAGGTCACTGATACCCAAAGATTGTCTAGGGAGAGGCTATATGGGGAAGCAGCGACATATGTAAGAATTAGAGCCAGCTTACCTGCTTCTGCTACTTATCAGCCCTGTGAGCAGGGACAGGTTCCTTCCCACCTCACTGTACTTTAACTCTTACAACTGAAAATGAAATTTGTAAAAATACCGACCTCAAAGAATTCTAAAAATAGTCTCTGGCATACAGTGAGCACTCAATAAAATAGCTTTCCCCATCTTTCCTTTCTGTATTATCATTCCCTCTGGCAGTTGGAGCTAATATACACAGCATATTGCAATTTACTTCCTGGGTATGTGTCATGTCTCAGTAATGAGACTGTGTAACTGTGGAGGACAGGAAGCGAGTTCCACTTATCTTACTGCTCACAATTTGGGATACATTGCCTTCCCATTACAGATGCACACAGAACACTATGCCCTGGTTATCTAGTTATTCCAAAAGGTATCTTCATGGTAGAGGAGGGGATGGCTTAGCAAAGCTGGGTGCATCTTCTCTACTGCTTCTTAGCAGTCCTCACAGGACCAATGAATTCCAACTTTCTTCCTAGTGGAGTGGTTTAGAATGGACTCATGTACTTTGATATATTTTCACTACAGTTAAAGTAATACTTCAAAGCAGGAGGGAAGTTAGCTCATGTGTTAGGTTATGATTGTACTTATCTCTACATCAAAAGGGAAAGTGCGAAGCAAGCTGTGTTCTGAGGTCTTGGGTGGAAGAAAGTCAATTGTAGTCTAGTCCTTCCCTCTCCATTCTGTCTTACTCCCCTAATACTAAATATGGTAGTACGAAAGGGATTAGAATGGAAATTTGCAAACCTGATGTGTGACTCTGCTATTTCCATCTTTTAAGAAGTTTTAAGAGGTAGGCAAAGAGAGAAATGAAAACTCTTAGCTGTTGTACTCCCCAAATGCCTGCAGTGGCCAGGACTGGGCTTGTTGGACACCAGGAATCAGGAACCCAATCTAGGTCTCTCCTGCGGGTGGCAGAAACTCAACAACTTAAGCCACTATCAGAGTCCCCCAGAGTGTGAGCAGGAAGCTAGAATCAGGTGCTGGAGCCAGGAGTGAAACCCAGGTACTTGGATGTGGGACATGGGCATCCTAACCAGTGTCTTAATCACCAAGACTAACCACCACTCATTTATATCTTCTTGATAGTAGACATATTGCTTATTCTGTCTGGGTGTAAGTTTTTATATGTATAATTAAGGGGTCTGAGACTTTCTTACAAGGCTACCCAGCTGTGTAGCAGACACTGAGCTACATCCAGATCTCTTCACAAATGACTTACTTGTTCCGTAGCTGCTCAAAGTAATACAAACAACAATCCCTTTATCAAATTGTCTTGGCTACAGAGGGCTGACAAGTCCATGATTGCCCCTTCTTGGGAGTCCTGGATTGGACTCAGAATGGCTGGTATAAACAGCTCTAATAAGTAAAAGCCTGGCCTCCTTGCTCCAACTCAGGACCACTTCACATTTGGGAATTTTCCTTAGGGTAAACCCAACTTCCACAGCTCCACTTCTCTTCCAGTCGTTTTGCTATGCCTTCCATGCTCTTCTTGTCCTTAGGTATTGATTCCAAGAGCACTCTCTAAACTGTACATAAAACTCTGATAGCTATTAACCTGCAACATCTAGGAAGTCACTTCCTTGACTAGAAGGCTTGGTGAAATGTAGCCTATTAGTCTTCCAGTCCTTATACAGAAATGGAGATGAGATACATTGGCTTACCACCCAGACTTCCTGGGAATATTATCTGAGATAACAAAGTTAAAGCAGTCATTTGTGAACTACTTCACAAATGTTCATTATTAATATAGGACCAGCAGCAAGACTATGGATAAATAGGTTGGATGCTAAAAATATGTTAGTTTTGGTCCCACTTCTGACCCAGGTATTATCTGGATGATGTCATCTCAAATAATATATTTTGGGAGTAGGTATTTGGCATACTGGCTAAGGTACCAGTTAAGATACCTGCATCCCATACTGAAGTGTCTCGGTTGAGTCCTAGCTCCAATTCCACATACAGGAAGGCAAAAGACAGTGACTCATGTGGTTGGGTCCTTACCACCTTTGAGAGCCGGGCTGGATTCCTGGATCTTGGCTTTGGCTTGGCCCAACCCAATCTTTGCAGATATTTAGGGAATGAACTAGTAGATGGGGGCTCATGAGTGCTCTCTCTGCCTCAAAAACAAACAAAAAGTATGTATATATGTGTGTGTGCGTATGTGTGTTTAAATATATCTGTGTGTATGTGTGGTTTCCAAGGGTTTCTAAAACAACCATAGTCAGCTGTGATCCACAGCTCTCACTGAGGTCACCTTCAGTTGCCAGGTCAAATCAAAGGAAAAATATCCTATTCATGCATTCGATTTCCAATATTTCAACTACATTTCCAGTGTCTTTTGAGTCCTTCCAGTTTTTTCCATTTTTGCTATGTTATGAAAGTACAACTGGACTCATGGCTTACTGGTGCTAAACATAATAAAAGGATCTGTCTTGATGGTTCTTGGCAGACAGGCTCAAATTTTTATATAAATGTACATAATTCTCTGAAGGCTCAACCATTCAAATTGTAAAGGAAAAGACAACATTTTGCTCTGCTATACGCGTAAAATTTAGACATTTCTACCCTCTTGTCATATAGGTAATTTTTTTTTTCTTAAAAAAAAAGCTCTATTTAAAAGATTGAAGTGTTAATATAGCTCTGATCCTGACAAAAAAATAAAAATAAATCAACTGCTGGAGAAGCACACAGTTTCTCATCTACCCAACATCAACAACTCTTAAGTATTCTTATAGGCCGCTAAAACAAGTTGTTTGCAACCTGGCAGGTTCACCGTTGCTCCTAAAGCACACAAAAAAAGAGTTTCTAAGACAGGGTGTGTTGTATCTATTTTGCCTTTACTTACAAATACTCAGATATTCAAAGCTAATAAGCTACCCAACTTTTCTAGTGCCACATGGGATAATTGGTGTAACAATGCTGCTGTGTCCAAGGTGGTGGCTTTGATATAGTGATGTCCAATTTTTTTCATAACCTTCCTTAGAGACACCACCATGATCTATCATGGAGATCAGAAGAGGTACAAAAAGGGAAGAGGTGGCTCAGTGCAAAACTAGCAGGAGCACTGCCAACTGTTCACATGGCTGAGTCACTTCATCCTCCCCTGTGGCACCCAGGAGTCCTACTCTCAGGACTGCATCAGTCTCTAGGATCGCTGGTATGAAGACAACATTTCACAGAACTTTAATAATCCAGCATTCGTAATTACAAAAGTCTTATTTTCCTAGACCCGAGGCTTAACATTCTGACAAAGCATTAGCCAAGCCAGCCTTGACAACTGTATAACAAACTTTGGATTACTGTGTCCAGCATCTCTGTGATTTATTTGAGTTGGTTAACCTAGTTTCTCTTTCTACTGCACAATGACTGAGATTAGAAATGAAAACAATAATGGCTTGGGTAATCCCATTTTTTAAAAAAAATATTTTATAATTAGGATGCTTGTAAGACAAATACAAGTGCCATACTGAAATAGCTAGTTGGTTTAGACATCAGTCTCCTTAACACCTTAGAAATTAAGGTACATGTGTGGTGCTTACCTTTTGTGCATTTTCTCCATCTTCAACTGTAAAATCTAGTCTGGGCTGCCTGGGGTTGATCAAGTCTTTTAGTGTTAAACAATTTATCTCCATCTGTAAAGCACAATTGAATTAGAAAAATGATTTTACAATTAAATATTTTCTGCCCTAGCAAAAGCATCTATTCACTGTTGGTGAACATGAACTTCCCCTTCCCAAAATGATTCCTGGGAATTTCCACTTCTCTCTAAAACCACCCTCCATTTTTTACTTAGACTCCCATTAATAAATACCAACACCTAAAGTGTGCTTAGTAATTACTGAAAATGTAGAAAGAAAAAAAAATCGATAAAAGCAGCCATTCTTTCTGCAAAGCCACCAGTGCAAAAACGAAGTTACCAAGAGAGGAGGTTGTTGGGCCAATCTGTCATAAAGTAGAGGGTCTCCCGGGTCAGTTAATTTTGGCGCAAAGAATTGGGAGGAATTTTGCTAAGAGGGAGTTTGAATTAGGGGGTGGGGGTAAAGGAAACCTGATCGCTCAGCTCAAACCCGCTCAGCTCTGGGCGCAGCTCGCTCCCAGGTCTCCAAGGCAGACCCCCAAGATAAACTCATCCAAAGAAAATACCGATATCTTGGGAAGGGGAAACTCCCCTGTACAGCCTGGCAGGAGGGAGAGTTGGAGACCGCACAGCCCCTGCCGGGTCCCGCAGACGAACACCCGGCTGCCCCACAGTCGGGAAGGGAAAGGCTGGCAGCACAGGAGAAAACCCCTTTTCCCCCCCAGTTCCCGCCTCCCCACCAACGCTGAAGCCACACGCTTACTTACTCCCGCTTTGCGAAGGAGGCTTTTTGCCTCTCCAGAGACCCCCACTGCCCCACACGGTTGCGGGACGCCTGTGCAGTGATCAGCAGCCTGACGGAGACATCGGGAAGGCAAAGTGAGGGGCGCAGACACCCGCTCTGAAGGCACTACGCTGGCGGGGACCCCGTGGCGTCCGGGAAGCGCCTGCGCTCCGACCCGCCGAACACGACTCCTGCCTGGATTGCAGTCCCCGCTAAAACACCTCCTCTGGCGCCTTGAGACCGAATTTGAGAATCCACCAATCAGCGGTGGCTGGCTGGGATGGCCCCGGCCAATCGCGCGGCAGCACGGCCCGGGCTCGCCGCCCCTCGGAGTCTTGGCGCTCCGGGTCGCGCGTTTCGCCCACACCCGCCCAATTGTTGCCGCCTCGACCCCCTCCTCCTTCCGGGTACCTGGAAACCTCGGGCCTGGGAGCCAATTCCTGCTGGGGACGCGGGCCCGGGCGGCCGCGGGAAACCTAGGTGGGGGCGGCGCAGGGCGGCGGGAGGCGGAGGCCCAGGGCTCCTTTGTTATGCATAAAAGACCCGCTCGATCCCAGAGCTTTACCGCGCCAGAAGACCGCGAGCGCAGGCAGGGGAGGGAAGACCAGATGGGCTTTGGAAAAACGATACACACACACAGCCCCCCTGGATGCTGCCGCCGCCACCCGCCCGGCAACCTGTGCGGAAGCGAAGCTGCCCAGGCTTGCCCGGGCGAACTCTTAAGTCCTGGACGCCGGTGGGCCCTGTGATCTATGGTTACCACTTCGTGTGAGAGCAGATGGCGCGCCAGTTAGTCCTGGAAACTGGATTGCTAGCCCCAGCCAATTTTTTAAAATCCGGAAATACTTCCTGGTTCCTTCTTTTCCCCCCCAGGATATCATAAATAATTAGAGAAAAGGCACCAATAGATAATTCTTGCACTCCTATTCTGGGAAAGACTCAATGAACAGTTCCTCAACATTACTGATTTGTATTAAATGTTTCACTTCCTTCAACTTAAGTTTCTTATGTAAGTTTTATATGTTGGTAGAGACACCTGCGTTTTGTTTTTTTTTTTTTTTAGATGTAGAACTGTAAACTGTTTAGTAGAACAATTTTTAACAAGATGGAAAAGATACTACAGAGTTTCCATGTGTTAATAGTTTCACCAACTAGTATTATCTTCTGGTGATAATTTGTTAACGTTAGTAGACCAATATGGGTGTATTATTCTTACCTGAAATCATTAACTTAGATGATCCTCTTTTTTATCTATTGTCTTTTTCCTGTTCCAGACTACAACAGTCCTTTAAATTATCATGCCTACCTGTGACAACTTCTGGTTTCATGGATTTTGATGATCTCCTGTTTTGAGAAGTTCTGCTCCAGTGTTTTGTATGGTATATTACTCCATTGTGCTTCCCAGTAGCCTTCTTTAAAGCATGTCTGCTCATATTTCACTACAAGCCATGTGCTTTCCAGAAAAGATACCTTTCTCATGATCCTGTCTACCAAGGCTCTACCTTCTGCTGCTCACCCATAAAAACAAGTGTTTTTAAATGAACTATGAGAAAACTCGTGCAACCAGATCCTTTACTTTGTACTGTATTTGTTTTTCAATTTTTAAGTATGTGTGTGTGTGTGTGTGTGTGTGCATAAACATGGAGGCCAGAGGTAGAGAGAGCTCCCATCCATTTGCTCATGTTCCAAATGCCAATAGCAGGTAGGGGTAGGCCAGAGCTGGGAGCACGATCCAGGTCTCTGATATTGGTGATCAGAACCCATTCACTTGAGCCATCATTGCCATTTCCCAAGGTCTGCTTTAGCAGAGGGGAACTAGAGCCCGGACTCAAACCCAGGTCCTCTGATGTGGAATCCAGTAATCAACCTCAAGGCTAAATGTCCACCCTTACGTTATGCTCTGTTTAGATTGTTAGCAAGTATAGCCTAAAAGTCAGAAGTCAGGTGTTAAAAAGAAACCAAAAAAGCATGCAAAGCATTGAATGTAATGAAATGTAGCAATAGTACGTGACAATTTCTGTAATAGAAATAACATTTTGAGGGGCTGGCACTGTGCTATGGCAGTACAGGGCCTACTTGAGATGCTGACATCCTGTATGGAGGCCAGTCCATTCCCTGACTGCTCTACGTCACTTCCACCTCCCTGCTAATTGGCTGGGAAAAGTAGAGGGAGATGGCGCAAGTCTTTGTCCTACCACTGACAACTTGGGAGACCAACCGGGATGGACTTCCTGGCTCCTTACTTTGGCCTTAGCCTAGCTCTGACTGTTGTGGTCATCTTGAGAATGAATCAGTGAATGGAGGATCTCTGTCTCTCCTTTTCTCTCTGACTCTGACTTTCAAAATAAATAAATAAATGTTATTTTTAAGGTAACATCTTGAGCTGAAACCTGTCTTTGATATAGAAGCATAATGGCAAGACTGTAAAGAATGAAAAAGCAGTTATATAGAAGCAGAACATTTAAGGATTTTTTTCCCCTCGATTGTATTAATTTTCTGTAACTGCTGTAACAAATGATCACAAACTGGTTAGCCCAAGAGAACAAATTTGCTGTCTCACAGTTCTGGGAGGCCAAAAGTCTTAAATCAAGGTGTTGACTGGGTCATGCACCCTGGGGAGCTCTGGGGAAGAGTCTGTCCTTTGCCTCCTCTGCCTTCTTGGGGCGTTTGGGAATCCCTGACATATGGCTGACTTATGGCAGTGTCTGTCCTTGTAATCACATTGACTCCATTTTTTCTCTTGAAAAGAGACACTCGTCTGTGTGTCTCTCTGAAGGACATTTGTGCCTAGATTTAGGTCTCACCTGGAACAATCCAGGGGACTTCTGTTCAAATCGAGAAAATGTTAATTAATACGCAGCATCAGACACTTGCAATTTCGTTCATTGTTTAAAGTTAGAGTACTTTTAGATTTCAAAGTAAATTGGAAAATGAATGTTTGATGGACAAAGTCAGTGGTATTATTCCTACACATTTATTTATATTTATGCTTTTAAGTCTCAGGTTTTGTAGATGATCTGTCAGTCTCACTGTTACTGAGTTGAGAGCCAGTGTCAACATCAAGGATAGTTTCTGCTTCCTTCAAGCCTGGTAGCACACAGCATCAGTATCTTTTTCGTGATGTCTTCAGGGATTGAGAATGAGCTTCCCAACAATCCCATCACTTATGGTAACAAAGGCTGAGATCTAAAATAAAATAGCATCATTTCTGCTATATTCTTTTGGATTAGGTAATCAAGAAACCATCCCATATGTGAAGGGAAAGATGTGTCACACCTCTCAGTGAAGTAAGTGTCAGAGAAATGGGGGTCATTTAAAAAAAACATGCCACATCAGATTTCATGGCAATTAAAATACAGTTCTAACTCAATAACTTACGGTCTGGGGCCAGTTATCTGAGCTAAGAGTTTAGATGCTATTTAGGATACCCATAACCCATATCAAAATGCCCGGATTGGAGTTCTATTCTACTGTCAAATCCACCTGCTTGTTAAAGTACACCCTGAGAATCAGCAAGTTTAGTACTTGACTCCCTGTCTCCTAGGGGAAGCCCTGGTTTTCCTAGCTGCAGCCAGGGCCAGCCCTGGCTATTGTGGGTATCTGGATCAGCAGCTAGAAGTTTTGTCCTTGGGCCTGGTGCGATGGCATAGTGGTTAAAGTCCTTGCCTTGAACACACCTGGATCCCATATGGTTGCCGGTTCTAATCCCTGCAGCCCCACTTACCATCCAGCTCTCTGCTTGTGGCCTGGGAAAGCAGTTGAGGATGGCCCAAAGCCTGGGATCCTGCACTCGGGAAAGATCTTCCTCTCTGTCTTTTCTCCTCTCTGACTATCGGCTTTTCAAATAAAAATAAATGAATCTTTAAAAAAAATGAAGTTCTGTCTTGTCTCTCTCTCCCCTCTCCTTCTTCTCTCTTACTCACCTTCTCCCCCTACTTTTCAAATGAAGTAAATAAAAACAATGAAAACATACAATTCAGCCTGAAATGTTGATTTTAGAACAATAGTATTACATGGTCTACAGCCCCCGTGTTCTGTAATATCAGCCTGTGACTCAGCATCGTTTCTCTTTTAGAGTCACCTGGGAATATTTTTTTTTTTTTAAATATTGGTATCTGAATTCCACACCCACCAATTTCTATTTTACTGATGTGAAATTGGTTACGGGTATTACAATTATTTTTTTGAAAAATACTTTGTGTCTTGTTCCTTAGCATTATCCTAGAATATCCTTTGGTGTTAAAGCCTTCAATTGTTTACGACCTGGTGGTTTCAGAAATGGATCCTCAGGTCCCATCAGAAGGGACAGAAAAGGCTGGGCAGGAGGAGGTGTAGTGGTTTTATGAAGCTGGGTATTGCTGGCTCTTAGCTATGTCACTGATTTTTGGGATCAAGAAAACTCATGGGCAGGGTGGGTATATCACAGAAAAGGGGGTAACAATGTTCTGTTCAGAGGAATACACAGATGGTATGGTCTATGACATTCTTCTCTGAATGTCTCTCTCTGACTGAAGACTTTCTCCATTGCTGTTGAAGGCTGTAAATAATCTTTCACCCTTTGGGATCCAAATCGCAAGCTTTATCATGCTTTTCAAACAGGTTTATCCCTCATAACAGAATATACAGTAATGAAATATAACCCATGCCTGTCAGCCCTAGGGCCAGGCCTTCTGGATTATCTAGTTAATGTACTAGCTTCCTCAGATACTTTACTTTTCTTGCAGCACTTGACATAATGGAAGTAAAGTCATGTTTGTGAGACATTTATATTCAAAATGTGTTTACAGGGTGGGTCTCAGGACGGGGTGTCTCATGCCTGGATCCCAGATGACAGCCACCATCTGCACGTGGTGAGCTGTCCCCGGGGCCTGCCTGCGCTCCGGGGGCTGCTCCCTTTGGGGTGAGTACACCGAGGGGGGAGGTCTCCGTGACTGGGCAGGTCCAGGACTCACCCGCCACCTTCATTGGGCGGTGAATGGGATTGTGGAGGGGTGCAACCTTGGGCCTGGGAGTCTCAGGATGGGGCGTCTCATGCCTGGATCCCAGACGACAGCCACCATGTGCACGTGGCGAGCTGTCCCCAGGCGCTCTGCCTGCTGGCCGCCCAGCCGGGGAGCTCTGGGGTTTTGGTTCTTTGAGTCACTGCTTAGTTAGCTCCAGGTTGAACCCGTTGTGCTTCTAGGATGTGAAGCATTCGTAA